TTGCCCAGGCTGATCTAGAACTCTTGGGCTCAAGCAATTCCCCTGCCTTGGCCTCCCAAAGTGCTGGAATTACAGGTGTGAGCCAGTGCACCCAGCCTTGGCTATTTTAATAAGAAAAGTGATGGCCGACACTGTGGCTCACGCCTATAATCCCAGCACTTTGGGAAGCCAAGGCGGGTGGATCATCTAAGGTCAGGAGTTCAAGACCAGCCTAACCAACATGGTGAAACTCCATATCCACTAAAAATACAAAACTTAGTCAGGCATGGTGGTGGGTGCCTGTAATCCCATTTACTCAAGGGACTGAGGCAAGAGAATTGCTTGAACCCAGAAGGTGGAGGTTGCAGTGAGCTGAGATCGCGCCACTGCACTCCAGCCGGGGCAACAGAGCGAGACTCTGTCTCAAAATAAATAAATAAAAAGGAAAGTGACTACAGGGTTTGAAGGAAAGAGTACACAGTGGGAGTCCTCAGGTACCTCGATCACATGTCTGATCCCATCCACGGTGTGCTCAGAGCCCCTGATCTTCGAGGACGCTCCTCCCCAGTGAAAGTGCATCTGCTGGGCTATGTACACAGTGCCGTCGGCTGCTGTCATGCGCATGGTGGAGGGCAGGCTGATCTGCACTGGAGAGAAAAGGTGGGGCTGAGAGCAGAGTAGGTGAACACAGGGGGGTCAGGCCTACAGGCTGGGTAGCTTCTCTGCTCACCTCCCACCTGTCTGAGCCTAGGGCAAGTCAATACCATAGACTGGCTTAGCATGCCATGAGCAGGGTCGCCAAAGGAGAAGAGGCGTTTGCACACAGGGCACAGGGTGAGGTCAGGATGGAGGCCAGGCACCGAGTAAACCAGACTGGGCAAGTGCCTCTCCCCAGCACACACCTTCCCGCTCAGAACCAACAGGCCAAAGGCAGGACCACATAGTGGCAGGTCCGGCTTGCTGGCCCCAGGGAAAGGGAAGGTCCTGAAAAATTACGGTCAATGGGCATGGAAACTAGAATTCTACTCTCTATCTCTGGCCGATTTTGGAATTTGCCGAAGGTATAAGAATAGGAAATGGAGCCTCTTAGAACTGTTTTCTTTTCTTTTTTTTTTTTTTTCAGGCTCACTCTGCTGCTTAGGCTGGAGTGCAGTGGCATGATCATGACTTACTGGAGCAACTCACTGCAGCCTCCAACTCCTGGCTTCAAGGGATCCTCCCACCTCAGCCTCCCAAGTAGCTGAGACTACAGGTGCCCGCCACCACGCCTGGCTCATTTTTGTATTTTTAGTAGAGATGCGGTTTCACTATATTGGTTAGGCTGGTCTCGAATTCCTGACCTCAAGTGATTCACCTGCCTCAGCCTCCCAAAGTGTTGGGATTACAGGCGTGAGCCGCCACACCCAGCTGAAATCTCTGTCTTTTGGAATGAACTACACAAAAAGGAAAAATGGACTCAGTTACTAAGAAAAGTGACTAAGAAAAATACCCATGAGGATAGAACTTTGGCATTGGAAACGGCCAGGCAGCATGTGTCTCATGAGCAAGATCTTCCTATTTATTTATTTATTTATTTATTTATTTAGAGACAGAATCTTACTCTGTCACCCAGACTGGAGTGCAGTGGCATGATCTAGGCTCGCTGCAACCTCTGCCTCCTGGGTTCAAGCGATTCTCCTGCCTCAGGCTTCCCAGTAGCTGAGATTACAGGAATATGCCACCACGCCCGGCCAATTTTTGTATTTTTAGTAGAGACGGGGTTTCACCATATTGGCCAGGCTGGTCTCGAACTCCTGACCTCAAATGATCCGACCTCCTCAGCCCCCCAAAGTGCTGGGATTATAGGCATGAGCCACCATGCCCGGCAAGATCTTCCTATTTAAAGTCATCAGTGGTGGCTGTAAACAAGAACATTTTCTTAAAAGACAGCAAATATGAGGTATTTAAAACCCGTCAGATGCCCCCCTTCTTCCTTTCCAAATTGTCTAAAGGAGCAGGGAGCTATGATTAAATTCATAACGTAATGTGCTGTAACGCAGTAATCTGGCCTGAAAGGTTTTCACCGGCCGTTTGGCAGAACAAGTGCTTGGTATTTAGAGCTTGAGATGTGGCTGGCCTCAAAAATCAATGCTTGCAAGAAAAGGAGGCATGCAAGGTCAGCAATGCTAAAAGCAGATGGGAGCTGAGGAACTGAGGACCCGAGCAGAGCTCCCTAAATGGACAGTCAGCACCACAGAAGAAATGAGAGAGGTCCTCACAATTTCCCCAAAACACAGCCCCCGGGAGACAGAATGTGTTACTTCTGGTTACACTGACAGGCCCACACAGGCCCAGTTGGAAAAGAGCCACAAACCTGAGCCTGTTGCTGTGCTTTTTTTTTTTTTTTTCAGACAGAGTTTGCTCTTGTCGCCCAGGCTGGAGTGCAACGGTGAGATTTCAGCTCACTGCTTCCTGGGTTCAAGCGATTCTCCTGCCTCAGTCTCCCCAGTAGCTGGAATTACAGGCACCCGCCACCATGCCTGGCTACTTTTTGTATTTTTAGTGTAGACAGGTTTCCACCATGTTGGCCAGGCTGGTCTTGAATTCCTGACCTCAGGTGATCCACCCACCTCAGCCTCCCAAAGTGCTGGAATTATAGGCGTGAGCCACCGCACCTGGCCATCGCTGTGCTTTTGAAAAGGCAAGGCCAAAAGTTAACTGGCTGTTCCCAAAAGTCAACTGGCTGAAACTTCCAGATCTGCAAATCAACTCAACTTCCAGAAGAGGCTGCTCCCCTTTATGGGAACCCAATGTAACCAGTTTCTTATCAGAAGAGAAAAGCCACATAATCCAAGAATTTGCTGTGCTCAAGAAACAATCAGCAAACTGTCAAGGTCGTGGAAGTCAAAGACTGAGAAACTGACTGAGATTGGAAGAGACTTAAAGAGACCTGACAGCGAAGTGCAATGTGGAATCCTGGGTTAGACCCTGGACCAGAAAAATATAGGAGTGAGAAAGTCATGTCATTCAAATGAGGTCTGGAGTTAACTGTGTTAACTGGAGTTAACTGGAGTTAACTGTGTTAACTGAGTTAACTGTGTGAATTTAAATTCAATAATAATTGTACCATGGTGGCCAGGCGTGGTGGCTCACACCTGTAATCCCAGCACTTTGGGAGGCCGAGATGGGCAGATCACCTGAGGTTGGGGGTTCGAGACCAGCCTGACCAACATGGAGAAACCCCGTCTCTACTAAAAAAAAAAAAAAAAAAAAGTAGCCAGGCATGGTGGTGCATGCCTGTAATCCCAGCTACTCAGGAGGCTGAGGCAGTAGAATTGCTTGAACCTGGGAGGCAGAGGTTGCAGTGAGACAAGATTGTGCCACTGCACTCCAGCCTGGGCAACAGAATGAGACTCCATCTCCAAAATAATAATAATAATAATAATTGTACTATGGTTATAAGATATTAGTGTTAGGGGAAGTGGGCAAAGAGCATGTGGAAAATCTCTGTACTACTTTTGAAATTTTTCTAGTGAAAAGCTATTTCACTAGAAGCTGAGGCCGGGCACAGTGGTTCACACCTGTAATCCCAGCACTTTGGGCGGTCAAGGAGGGCAGATCACTTGAGGTCTAGAGTTCGAGTCCAGCCTGGCCAACATGGAGAAACCCTGTCTCTACTAAAAATACAAAAATTAGTCGGGCATGGGGTGCAAACCTGTAATCCCAGCTACTTGGGAGGCTGAGGCAGGAGAATCGCTTGAACCCGGGAGGCAGAGCTTACAGTGAGCTAAGATCATGGCCACTGCACTTCAACCAGGGCGACAGAGTGAGACTACATCTCAAAAATAAATAAATAAAATTGAAAAAGAGAAAGGAACAACCAGCCTCCTGCCTCCCCGCGGAGCATTAAAAAATCAAAACCTGTGTAGAATTCTGTGTCACTCATGGGCGCCTGTTTGAGGACTTATCCTTTTATGTTCAGGTCTTTTCTGCTCAAATGCACCATTCAGTGAACATTTTGAATTTGCTCTGTCAGGATCTGTGGCCAGTACTGTGATGAAAAGATGAATATGCGATTATCCGTATCTTCAAGGAACTTCATAAAAGAAGTAGCCAATAGCAATTATTAAGAAAACAGTATATATTAAGAAAACACTGAACACTAGAGGCCCAGTACCACAGGCATTTAAGCTTTTCTGGAGCCTATCAAATGTATTTTGGAAAATTTAAATATGTATTTTTTTGTTGTTGAGACAGGGTCTTACTCTGTCACCCAGGCTGGAGTGCAGTGGCATGACCTCAGCTCACCGCAGCCTCTACCTCCCAGGCTCAAACAATCCTCCTGCCTCAGCCCTTCAAGTAGATAGGACTACAGGCACACACCACCATGTCCAGCTAATTTTTAAGTTTATTTGTAAAGACAGAATTTCACCATGTTGCCCAGGCTGGTCTCAAACTCCTGGGCTCAAGCAATCTGCCTGCCTTGGCCTCTCAAAGTGCTGGGATTATAGGAGAGCCACTACACCTGGACAATATGTATTAATGGATCAGTGCCGGCCCACCAACTGTTACTAGTCTACAGCAAAACAGATCAATTGGGAGTTAGTTTTAGAAATTTTGTAGCAATTTGTGTGTCTCAACAGCCTGTGTTTCAATTTGAATTTCTCTTTATTGAAATGTTGAATCTAATTTAAATTTAATTTTAAAATGAGGAGGCCAGGCCTAGCAGCTCATCCCTGTAATCCTAGTAATTTGGGAGGCCAAGGCAGGCAGATCACCTGAGGTCAAGAGTTCAAGACCAGCCTAGCCAACATGGAGAAACCTCATCTCTACTAAAAATACAAAAATTGCCCAAAAATATGGACAAAATCTATATACGGAAAATCATAAAACTAATGAAATAAATCAGGAAGAACTAAATAAGTGGAGAAATATTCCATGTTCACAGATAGGAAGACTTAATACTATTTCAACGTCCATTCTTTCCAACTTGGTCTATATGGTACCAAAAAGGGGTCCCGATCCAGACTCCAAGAGAGGGTTCTTGGATCTCACACAAGAAAGAATTTGGGGTGAGTCCACAGAATAAAGTGAAAGCAAGTTTATTAAGAAAGTAAAGGAATAGGCCAGGCATGGTGGCTCATGCCTGCAATCCCAGCACTTTGGGAGGCTGAGGCATGTAGATCACTCGAGGTCAGGAGTTCAAGACCAGCCTGGCCTACAGGGCGAAACCTCATCTCTACTAAAACTTAACGGGGGCATGATGGTGCACACCTGTAATCCCAGCTACTTGAGAGGCTAAGGCACGAGAATCACTTGAACTGGAGGCAGAGGTTGCAGGGAGCCAAGATAGCACCACTGTACTCCAGCCTCAGAGCAAGATTCTGTCTCCAAAAAAAAAAAAAAAAAGAAAGTAGTGGAATAAAAAATAGCTGCTCCGAAGGCAGAGCAGCCCCAAGGGCAGCTGCTTGCCCATTTTTATGGTTATGTCTTAATTATATGCTAAACAAGGGGTGGATTATTCATGCCTCCCCTTTTTAGACCATATAGGGTAACTTCCTGACTTTGCCATGTCATCTGTAAACTGTCATGGTGCTAGTTGGAGTGTAGCAGTGAGGACGACCAGAGGTCACTCTCGTGGCCATCTTGATTTTGGTAGGATTTGTTGGGCTTCTTGATTGCAACCTGTTTTATCAGCAAGATTTATGACCTGTGTCTTGTGCCAACCTCCTCTTTCATTCTGTAACTTAGAATGCCTTAACCTCCCGGGAGTGCAGTCCAGTAAGTCTCAGCCTTATTTTACCCACCCCCTGTAAAAGATGGGTCAGTCTGGTTCAAACGCCTCTGACATTACTATACAATCAAGCAAGCTCTTGGTATTTACCCACATGAATTGAAAACACACAAACCTGCACATGGAATTGATTGACTGATTGATTGAGAGAAGGTCGCGCTGTCACCCAGGCTGGAGTGTAGTGGTGCAATCATAGCTCACTGCAGCCTTGACCTCCCAGGCTCAAGCGAGCCTCGCACCTCAACCTCCTAAGTAGCTAGGACTGTATGTTTGAGCCACCATGCCAGGCTAATTTTTTGATTACTTTTGTAGGTCTCACTACATTGCCCAGGCTGGTCTCGAATTCCTGGGCTCAAGTGATGCTCCCACCTTGGCCTCTCAAAGTGGTAGGGTTAGCGGCATGAGCCACCATGCCTGGCCTGCACACAGGTTTTATAACAGCTTTATTCATAACTGCCAAAACTGAGAAGCAACCCAGATGTCTTTGGATAGGGGAATGGATAAACTGTGGTTCATCCAGGGAATAGAATATTCAGCACTAAAAAGAAATGAGCTATCAAGCCATGAAAAGACATGGAGGAACCTTAAATGCATATTACTCAGTGAAAGAAGCCAGTGTGAAAAGGCTACATGCTGTATGATTCCAACTATGTGACATTTTGGAAAAAGAAAAACCATAGGTCAAATAGAAAGATCAGTGATTGCCAGGGTTTAGGAAGGAAGGGAGAGATGAACAGGTGGACCACAGGGTTTTCATGACACTGAAACGATTGCTCGATACATGTGATTAGAAACCTGTCAAAACCTGACTAGGCGTGATGGCTCATGCCTGTAATCCCAGCACTTTGGGAGGTGGATCACTCGAGGTCAGGAGTTCGAGACTAGCCTGGCCAACATGGTGAAACCCCATCTGTACTAGAAATGCAAAAATTAGCCAGGCGTGGTGGCACGTGCCTGTAATCCCAGCTACTGGAAAGGCTGAGGCAGGGGAATCAATTGAACCAGGGAGGCAGAGGTTGCAGTGAGCCGAGGTCGTGCCACCCCACTCCAGCCTGGGCGATAGGGCAAGATTTCGTCTCAAATAAAAGAATCTTGCAAAACCAAAAATCAACAAATCTTTAATACATCACGTCAACTTTATTGTTAAGCTTAGTATTCATCAAAATCTCATCAAAGTTTGTAGATTATTTTTTTTCCCCTTCAGTAGAATTCCTGAATGTGCTTGGAGCTTGCTGAAAAGTAGCCAGTGGCAATAGCCAAATAACTTCAAAAGCTAAATTATAAAAATCTTTCAAAATACTTTATATCAGGCCAGGTGCAGTGGCTCACGCCTGTAATCTCAACACTTTGAGAGGCCAAGATTGGTGGATCACTTGAGGCCAGGAGTTCAAGACCAGCCTGGCGAACATACTGAAACCCCATCTCTACAAAAAATACAAAAATTAGCTGGGAGTGGTGGCACACACCTGTAATCCCAGCTACTCAGGAGGCTGAGGCATGAGAATTGCTTGACCCTAGGAGGCAGAGGTTGCAGTGAGCCAAGATCATGCCACTGCATTCCAGCCTGGGTGACAGATCCATCTCAAAAAAAAACCCTTTACATCAAAAAATAGAATTATGGCCAGTCCGGTGGCTCATGCCTATAATTCTAGCACTTTGGGAGGCTGAGATGGGCGGATCACTTGAGGTAAGGAGTTCGAGACCAGCCTGGCCAATATGACAAAACCCCATCTCTACTAAAAATACAAAAATTAGGTGGGCATGGTGGCACACGCCTGTAGTCCCAGCTACTGGGGAGGCTGAGGCAGGAGAATCGCTTGAATCTGGGAAGTGGAGGTTTCAGTGAGCCAAGATTGCACCACTGCATTCCAGCTGGGGCAACAGAGCAAGACACCGTCTCAAAAGAAAATTTTTTTAAAATATATATATAATTAATGTGAACTTTGGGTCCACTCTAATGTCCGGCATGCTGTCGTGTGAGGTGAGAACCCCAAAGGAACAGGCTTCCAGACCACAGAAATTTGAGCACAGCCCCAAAGGAAGAAAGGACAGGGTCCTCTGGAAATTGGGAGGAGCGAGCCACTGCAAGCCCCTTGGGAAGCTGGGCTCTTCTCTTCCTTATGCCTTCCCTCTCCCGGGCCCTCAGCACGAACCCCGCACTCAGCAGGGGCTGCCCATGGAGATCCCTCCATCACTGACTGCTTCCCGCCCGCTGTCCAGGGAGGGTGAACAAAGCCACTGCCTTTGGCCTTTGTGCTTCACCCTTTCTCCACAAGGAGAGGACAAGGAGAGGAGGAAGAGTTCAGCCTGCCAATCTGGAAGCGTCAGAGAGTAATTTTGGAAACAAGAGCTTGATGTTATAATGAAAATGAAGCTTTTGTTCATTCTTTGTGTATTTCAGGGCTCTTGGCCACA